AATAATTATTTTTAATTAACAAAAAATGTTTTAAATTGCCATATGTTTTTCAAAGTGTATCCGTTGATAATTTTGCATTTCAAAGTAGGTGATTTTTAACTGATTTGATAATTAATTATAATTTTTGCAATCAATTGTTTGCTGTTTTAACTTTTTGTTGCCTTTGACAAGTTCCAAGTGGAAGCACGGATATTGCTCATCCATTGATATTTTCAAACACGTGGCAGTTGCTGGTTCATTGTTGAAAATTGTAAAAAATATTTTTATGATTGATTTTATAATATTTAATTACTTTAAATTTAAGTTTTGCAGAGTTTTTTAAAAAATTATTTAATAAATATAGAATATTCATAACAATTAAACCGTAAAAACTAAAAATTAAATATTTGGCAACATTAAAAACCGTGCTTGTTCATTAATTTTTATCATTTTTTTATTGTTGCTTTACTAATTCTTTATTCACAAAACTTCAATCCCAAATGTTCTTCTGTGCGGTGTTTTTAACTTTTTGGCCACATTTCTGCTTCAATAATTCAATTCAAAACGTAATGCGAGTGAAATTGATGACAAAATTTATTATATTTTAAACCGATTGGCGGTTTACAAGACAAAAATAAACAGTTTCAATTTTTTGTTACAACATAATATAACTTTAAATTGTATTTTTTAATAAATATAAAAGTCACACTAAAGCATAATAAAATCAGAATAATACTAAAAATGTTTTTTTATCAATAAATAATTACTTTTTTAGTTATTGCATTCTCTAAAATGTAAAAACCAATTTTTAGTGGTGTTAAGGTTTCAATAGCATTTCTTCTTTGTTGCCAATTTTGATCAACAATCTACATCACTTATTTTTTACATAATTATTATCATAAAATTTTTTTATATTATTCAATAAATTTTTTTAATTTAATTTTATTATTAGAAAATTATGCACAAAAAGTATATTTATTAATGAGCAATTAAAAGTTGTTTTTATTTCATTGCACTTTCAAAAGCACAATAAATCTGCATGATAAATAAATCAAATTATTTGTATCTCATTTAAAGTTATTTTTAAACTTTGAACAAGTTTTTCAAATGAATTTAAAAAAAGTAATTCTATTACATAAATATTTTGTAAAATATTCATATTAAACTTATCAATTTTTACACTTTTTATGTAAGCTTGTTTTTATTATAAACTACAAATTATTTGTGAATTTTTGTAACACAGTCTAATTAAATGTAAGTTATAAACTTTACTCTTTAACCTCCCACGTCAATTACTTTAACAAAAAGAAACTTTGCTTTTTATTTATTTTTCAGATTTTTTGCCTTGTTTTTTTGCTTATGCATGTTTTTAATCGATTTAAGCGCTTATTCTAACAAAATGCGATCGATTAATTGACTCAAAATTGACTCATTGAAAAAATGTATTTTTATCAATTGTTCAAAAGGTTTTTATTGGTTGCACTATAATAATAAAAGATTTACAAATAAATAAAAACTTTTTAATTATGTTAAATAAATTTTTACAATAAATTTTTATTATTGGGTATTTTAAAAGTTGTTTCTATAGTTCTTTTAATTGAGCAACAAATTTTATATTTACATAAAATTGGTTATCTTTTTCCTTCCATTGATTTTTGTCAAACAAAAACCTATTCTAACTAAAATTATTGTTGTTTGTATCTTAGTGAAATGTCACCCAATTTTTTAATTTTTTTACTCAAATTTTTTATAAATTTTGTTCACTGGTTACTTTTGATTTTAAAACAGAGCAAATTGAAATTTAATGAATCCCAGTTTTATTCAGTTTAAAACATACAAAACATGTAAAATTTATCGATTTAGCAATTACTGCGAATGAGGTTTAGTAAAGCAGAAGATTTGCTTGATTAGATTGAAAGAATTTACACCAAATGTAAAAATGTTGTTTAAAAATGTAAAAAGAATACTCTAAATTACACTATTTTAAATTATTGTTGTTTTAAAAAAAGGGTTGCTTGAATAAAAAGGCAAAATCGATTGAGATGTTTTGTTTTAAAAAATTCAATTATATGTTTTTGTTGTTATGGTTATTATAACTCTAAAATGCACTATATTTACTGATTTTAATAGACATAGTTTTTGCTAATACATTGTCATCTCAATTTCATTGGATTTTAAATAAATTTTAAAACGCTGACTCTTTTTTGCAAAGTTTGCACGTATTGCTTAAGTTTGCAAAAAACACTAAATTCTTCTCCAATTGACTGTGCTAGTGAGCAAGTAAAAAGACAAGTGAAAAAATATGAAAAAGTGGCAGCGATTGAATTACAAACATAATAGAGGCATTGAAAATATTATAAAAAGATAGTGTGTTGCTTTGTTTAAAATATTGAGAGAGGTTGAAACATTTTACAACAAAAAAATATCACAACTTAAACATCATTTGATATATAAAATAAAAAACGGGAGAAAGCTTTCAAATGGAAAAATAAAGTTTTTACGGCAAAAACAAAGGTCACGAACGTGTAAGTTCCTTATTTGAAAATGTAACAATCTGCCGCCATTTGCTCAGAAAATTAAGGAACAATCCATTTGAAACAGTTTTTTGCTTTTACAAACACTACGCGCTTGATTCCAACAGTATTTTTTCACGTATCTTTTTATATTCACTATAAATTAACAAAACTTGCTAAAAATTCTTAAACAATCAACGGAATTCAAGTATCATGCATTATTTTAAAAACTTAAAGTTGTAACTGCTGATTTGAATTATTACTAATTTTGGTTTTACATGTTAATTTAAAACTTAAAATGAAAAAAAGGTTTTTTCTACACGGCAATGTTTCTTTACTTACATTGATGTCATTTTTACAAACTTATTTCAATTGATTTAATAATATGACAAATGATTAGTTTACAGTGCTGAAGACAATTTAATGCAATTACTTTACAAAGTGTCAATTTAAAATTAATGCTAATGAATAGTTTGCAAAAGAGAAGACATTTATGGGAGCATTTATAAACCAGTTGTTAAAACCTATTTGAAAAAGATTTATAGTTATGGAATTGCGTTAACATAAAAATTTTATTCATAACCTAGGACAGTTGAAGGCAACTGATAGTTAGTCAATTTTTTTAGTCATTGAACTAAATACAAAAACCATTAGAAAGTAAAAATGTTTTAGTTGCATTTTAATCTCAAAATTTTTTTACTAATTGTTCTAAGCAAAATTCTTAGTGAAAAACATTTGCTTATTAAAAAATTTAAAACTTACAAATTAATTGAAAAAATAGGTTTTAATTTCAACAGTTAGTTTTATAATTAACAAAACATTGTAAAAATGTTAAAAAATAAATCATATTTTTTATAACATCACTAACGGACATTAAAAGAATTAATTATTCTCACTGACAGATGCGTCGAAGCATAATTCCCAATTGTTGGCAAATATTGAGATTTTTGCTACTTTTTTTACTATCATTATTTTTACACATCATTATGACTAATTAATAACTGCCGAAAGTATTCAATTGTGATTACAATTTTGTTGCAAATTTTATTTTTAGCACTTTACTAAAACTCAATTATATATACAAATGTTTTATAAAAAAGCCCACTCAGAACTAAAAATGCACATTTATGTAAATTTATCATTTTGAAACCAGAGACGACCGGTACCCTTTCGATTTGCGGTTTAATTTTTTTAACCTTTGTCAACTATTCAGTTATTTTCTTCTTTTTTAACTCATTTGGCATTCATTTCAGGGGCAAAACCCAGTCCATTTGTTCAGTCTTCTAATTAGTCAACGGCCTGAGCACTTGTCATTTCTCCAATGAATGGTTCATGTTTCCATTGATAACGCAGATTAGCTGTTAATGGAAGCAATATTCAAATGAGAAGTGTTGAGAACAACAAAGAGCAAAGTGCAAAGGAAAAACTAAAAAGGGAAAGTGAAGACGGGCACTTGGTGGATCATCAGCGGCTAATTTTTCAGTAACTAACCGGAACAGAGCCCATTTTTGTCTCATCATTTGATGCTAATTTAGAGAGCACTTTTCGCAATTTCTGACTCATGGGTTGCCCATTTTGCTGCAGTGTCCCCACTCTAATTCGCCTAATTAAATCCTCTCTTCTCATCTACTGTAAAATGCCCCGTCACGTCCTTTGTCCCACCCACTGCCTTGGTCCCCTGTCAACCTCAATCGCCGATGATGGATCACCCACCTTCTCTAGTCCTCTCTCCGATTGACCCAATCATCGTGTCTTTTTCTGTCCTGGGTGCTCTATTCTAATTCGCCTTTTTCCTCACTTTCCTATTGACAATGGCAAACTGTAATTCAATTATAGCTGAATTAGAGTGGATTGCAGATTAATTTTACTTTATTAAGCAGAGTATTTTGGTTTTTTCTTAAATTGTTAAAAAAAATTATATATATAAATCTAATTATCTGAACAAAAAAAAATATTTCTTGCAAGTTCCATAACTATAATTTTTTTAAACAAAAAACATTTTTTCTAACATTACTAACGGCATCTACCGATATAAAATTATGTTTTATTAGTAAAACTTTATTTTTTAATTTATTTTTTAAAGTTATTTTTATTTGCTTGAATCAAGGAATAATCAAGAGCAGAATTAGAAAATATAGTCACACTTTTTGTGAATAAAAAAATTCTCTAATATTAGATTTGTGCAGTGCAGTTGCAGACTGCACTGCATGAAAAGTGATATTGCTGTTTCTGAGCACTGACTTTTGTTTTGATTCGGACAATCGCATCCAACGATTGTGGCTGTGTATTCTTTTTTATTATAACAAGTGTGCTCACAATGTCTGATCGCCATTCTGGTGCCATGAATCATAATCGAGCTAGCACTGATGAAGATTTTATTAAAAAGAGCATCACTCACGTCAAAGTGCTGCACAACTTTAGAGGCTCAAATAATGATGAACTTTGTATGAAGAAAGATGATGTAAGCATGAATCTTTGCCCATGACTTTTAGCTAACATAAACTAAAAATGGAATTTTACCAGATTATCACGCTTACTCAAACCCCATCAGGAGGCTGGTGGGAGGGCACTCTAGATGGAATCACCGGCTGGTTTCCCGCTAACCATGTCACGCCCTCAGAGATCAACTTTGAGTCATCCAGCTTAGGTACTTCAAATCTGGCACTCACCAGCGAACTTAGCGGTGGTTCTGGTCCACTGTCAGGGCATTTTAGCTCCTCAGAACCGGGGTCTCTTACTGGAATTGAATCCCAATCTCTTGGTTACAATGGCGAAAATATTACAGAATACCGTGCAATAGTCATCAAAGACATTGAAGACTCTGAACATGTTTTTATTGGGCAGCTACAAGATGCAATTAACTTGTATTTGAAACCAATGTACCAGTATAAAATGTAAGTTATTGCTACTTTTTAAATTTGAAATTAATTATCTTTTTCATACAGCTTTCCATCCGATTCGGAAATCAATGCTGTTCTTCGGTCCATTACAGAGATTTGCACCGTTCATCGACGGTTTTTAACCTCAATTGATAAAAACAAGTTGTAAGTTTGTGTGGATCACATTTTACTAAATCTAAAATTAAATTTTTTTCTGGTATTGTACAGAGTTTCTCCAAAAGAAAACCGAATCGGTGGCCTATTTCTTCAATTTGCGCCTCAATTCAAGCACGCACACTTTGAATATTGTTCACATCACGCAAAATTTGTTCATCTAATTGAAAAGTTCAAGTTTGTTTTCATTTTTTACAAAATATTCATATTAATGACCTTTCTCTTTAACAGGAAAGAAATCTGCAGCTTTTTCGTATCACACCCACATCAAGTGACAAACACAGCTTTCCCGCCTTCACCCTCTATAACTGCAGCAACAAATACGCCCAATGTTCTAATTACCAGCTCACTAAGCGTTTCCTTTCGTCGCCTCGACAAGTACCCAGCTTTGCTTCAAGAACTTCAGCGCTACACCGAGGAGAGCCATGTTGATAGAGGAGACACTCAACGAGCAGGTTTTCTTTACCGAGAAATTGCTATGTCTTGCTTAGAGTTAAGACGGCGAAAAGAAATGGAGCTTGAAGTGATGTTGGGCAATATTCGCAACTTTGATGGATTAAAAGTGGAGACATACGGCAACATTCAGCGAATGGAGCCAGTGTCAATTTTAATTTTGCCACCTTGGTCTGAACCAAAGAAAGACTGCTACCTTGTGCTTTTTGCTAAAGTGCTTATGGTCCTGTCAGTTGGTAAAGAGCTTACTTCATTTAGCTATGAGTCAATGCTCCAACTCGAACGAGCAAGGATGCCGGTCATCAACTTTGCCGAAAAACAAGGAGATAGCTATGCACGATTGGAGATTCAAGGAAATAGGTATACTAGGTTTCTATACACATTCACTGTAATTAACGTCAATTGTTTTGTTTTTTAGTGCTCACCCACTATCGGACGCTGAACTAGTGCTCACGTATATGGTCCAGTTTAGTGATGAAGAGGTGTGCAAGGATTGGTATCAACAGTTGCAGAAACAGATTCGCCTAGTGAGTGCCGCTTCGATGCCTGATCTAATTGGAACGGGAAATGCCATCAATGGTTCATCGAGTTCATCTAGTCTGACGACCACTTCACCGCCGTCCGGTTCTTCTAGTTCAAGTATCTCCTCGCCGCAGTCAAGCTCTTCCGTATCCTCTGTACCACCGATCATTGGCAAGCCTCCTGTTGGTCTTGGAAAGCCTCCCCATCCGCCAACTACGCCACCACCACCGCCACCCGTCCCACCTCTTCCACAGCATCGACCGTTTATTCCTTCTCGACAGGTTTTACTGCAAAACGCATCAACTGCGATGCTGCCGAGACGAGGCAGTTACTGGTCGGATAAAATTCTCACTGCACACGCGCCCCATCGTCCAGAGTCAGGCTCTGGTTCGCAAAATTCAGGATCACTTGATCCAAATGAGGATATTCAACTACTCAATGTTATTGATGCTTACTATCGTAAGATACCTGGCGTTGGAAAGGACCTGGGTGGCGGAAAGACAAGGAAACTTAGCAATTCAAGTAAGTTTGCCTTAACTTTTATTAATACTGAATTTAATTTTTTTTATCTCATTAGACATGCCCGATTTAGAGCTGGAGCAAGAAGGGCAGAGGCAAATGTTGGTGGAAATATTTGAATCAGTTGGAGCACCCACAGAAATCAAGCCAACTAGTCGTGGTTCTCGTGGTCTTCAGGGCTCCAAAAGTTCGGCTGTTAATTTGCAATCATTAGCTACCAAGCTCAACCAAATGTCTTTGAGCTCGTCAACTGAAAGATCGATTCTTTACGAGTTTTTCGAGCAACTGCGAACAATTCAAAATCAAATGAACCGTTTGAATGAAAACTTTAAAGAGGAACGCAAACACCGAAAGCGGCTTCAAGAAGCATTGTACCGCAAAGTTGGATAGAATCAGTATTTATTATGAACTTTCTTGCAGTATTTAATTTGTCTACTTACCAAATAAAATTACTAACAACATTGAAATTGGGGAATAGAATCATTTTAAAAAAACGTCGAGACGTCATCTGCGATTAGCTCATTTCAGCACGTTTTGTCCGATTGCCTGACATCTCCGCGAAAGACACCTCCGCGAAATTTATTAAGCCCTGCCCATGACGTCTCCGCGAAATTTTAGGCTCCACCCATGACATCTCCGCGAAATTTTTAGTCATGAGCACAGCCACTGTGAGTGTGTCATGTTAAGGGTCAGTGCGCCACAAAGCGCAGCTGCTAGCTTACTGCGTAAGCACACTCAAGCGCCAATCAAGCTACAGTGAGCGCTTTAAGGACAACTTAGGCTGATGTCATCCCAATTACTTTCTCCAAGAATACAAACTTTTAAAAACAAACACTATCGTTTGCAGTGTGACAAGCCAATCTTATATATTAAAATAAGATTTCATTGATTGTGATATTTATCAAAACTAGTGGGGCATAGCAATCACTTCTTCCTGATGTTAAGGGGAGTACCAGAGGAAGCGTTTAAGTTCATAAAACAAAAATTTTTATTTTAAAGTACTTTGCATCAACATCTCAAAAGGCAGATATTTTAATGAATGTTTGTTTTTAAAAGTTTGTATTCTTGGAGAAAGTAATTGGGATGACATCAGCCTAAGTTGTCCTTAAAGCGCTCACTGTAGCTTGATTGGCGCTTGAGTGTGCTTACGCAGTAAGCTAGCAGCTGCGCTTTGTGGCGCACTGACCCTTAACATGACACACTCACAGTGGCTGTGCTCATGACTAAAAATTTCGCGGAGACGTCATGGGCAGGGCTTAATAAATTTCGCGGAGGTGTCTTTCGCGGAGATGTCTGGCTACCGTTTTGTCCTCTGCAAAAATAAACAAATCGTTTTTGCAAGTTGCCGACTGCAATCGAGAATCTTGGTCTGCCAAGTTTGGGTAACCACTAAATCCCTGGTGTTTAGTGAAGATGCTAAATCGTTTCATCGCCTCCTTTGTCTCTAACTCTGCCCGTGTTGCAGCCACTGTGGAAGGCCTCGCCGGTCTGGGCGCAGTGGGCATGTCTCACCAGTACCAGCAAGTGCGACTAAAGTCGAAAATTAAGTTCTGTGGTTATCTCGAGCATCCTGAGTTTAAAAAGCGAGATATTCGCTACAAGACTTCAACAAGACACGACCCGAAGCGGATGAACTGGCACGACTATCAGGTACTTCTAGAGTTTCCTTGAAGTCTGTGTTTACTACTTAACCATGCAGTAGCAGCATCCTAGTTACATCAGTTTAACTGTCCTGTCACTTTTGAACATTTTTGAATAAATTGGTTTTACTAACTTTTAAACTTGTAATCATTATTTTTTAAATAGGAACGTCGTTGGAAGTCAGTTCACTGGAACAAACCGTATCCATTGTGGCAAGCAAAAATGGATTACGCCGAGAATCTGGTCCGCCTTGGAATGCCTGCTTGGACTATTCAGAATATTACCGGGCTCCATCCTCACTGCATAGATTATCTGGAGCGGAAGGTTTCTGGCAACGTGGTACTCCTTCGAGAGGCTCACTACTCCAACTATGTCAATCACACTTCTGGCTCACGGTGAACTGTTGATCTACAAAGCAAGAATTTGCTTTCTTTTTCATCTAAATGTACAATTTTTGTCAAATACTATTCAGTGGGTGTATTTAAAATATATTAATTTCTATAGACTACTTTGGTCTATGTTGACTATTTTACAGTTATTTATTAGTTAGAAAATAAAATAAAGTAGGTAAACAAGAGTTAACAAAAGTGTTGAGTTCCTTATCAGCAGTTGAAACTTTTCACTGCACTAATTGTGGTGTTGCCTTTACTTCTGCCCTTGACGTCGGAGGCTGTGTGATAAGCTCTGCTCCTTAGTCAATCAAATTGTAGCTGTTTTTGATGATAGCCTCCATCAAGCTGGTAATTTGTAAGATGTTGGTAATGGCCGAAAATTCAGGCGAAAACATTGCATATTTATTCCCTCGTTCTGTGATTTTGCCAAAAAATCGAAATGTAGTCGATGAGTCTTCTTTCGCTTGTGGCAAGAGATTTGCATTCATATCTTTTGCTTCTTTAAATGCTTTTTTCAGTGGGACTGCTTGTTGCAGTTGGTTCACAGCAAAATTAGTCGTTTTGCTGTCATTGACCATTTCACTCGCAAAGCTTTCTGTGTTCATCTCGATCATCTCGTCGTTGCAAAGCCAGGCTAGTTCACGCGCGTACATCTCTAGAATGCTATTTCGTATCATGTCGATCTGCTTAAGTTCTTTCTCTGCAATTTTGCCGCCGTTTCTTGTAGTAAGTAGAACCATCAATAGCATTGGCATATAGCGATACTTTTCCATCAATTCAATCAACTTTAAACATTCTGCTTCATCAAAAATCTTATTATTAATTTCTTCGATATCTTCGTTGAGCTCGATTTCAACCTCTTTAAACTTTTCCAAATCGTCAGAGGAAGATAAGGTGCTGCTATTTGTTTCAAGTTCTCCTTCTTCTTCTTCAAGCCATTTAAAATCAACACTTTGTGTTGCTTGTTTAACTTTTTCATCTGTTTTTTTCTTATTAGCGACAATGCTTTCTTTCAACTGTTCAGCATGGTAGTAACCTTGTGTAAAGGGAATTAACTGTGGAACAATTTGTGTGTCGTGCTTCTGATTGAGCACTTCAAGTTCGTGCATCAACGATTCTGCTGGCATAGGAATAATTTCATCTTCCGAGAGCGCGGTTAAAACTGGCGCAGGACACTTGGACAGTGTTAGAACATACTGTTGAAGTATCACAAAATTTTTCTGAAGTTGAGTGTCATTGAAAAAGAGTGAATTCTCACAAAGTGGATTTGGCAATCTGGCAAAAAGGGAAATGAAAAGGCAAATGCCGATAAATCTGAATTTAAATTCGAAAATTTAACCTAAACAAGCTTACTGTTTCCCATCGTATAGCATTGCCAAAGTTATAAGCATCAGCTTATCGACAGCATCAGATATCAATGATCCTTGTACGTGTATGTTTATTTGCCGCCAACTTTTAATTTGGCTGCAAAAATCCTGCAGAGTACTTCGGCAGAGACAGCGCAAGTTTTCGACAATGATTGCAAATCGGACCTGAACTGGCACCGTAATGGCAGTCTTCGCACTGTCATTCACTACCAAAGAGCCCGAAGAGCGAGAGAGATCCTGAAGGTAGCTGAAAATCTGCTTGAGCAGTATGCTAAAGCTGTTATCAAACGCATTGTACAGCTGCCGCTGCAGCAGGTAGCCAACATTGTCTTCGTTATTCACTTTGGGCTTGCCGTTGTTTCTTCAATAAAAAAGAAAGTGATT